TTTAAATAACTATGTAAATAAACCTGTCTTATTCAAAGAGTAGGGAGGTGGTTGCTGTGGAAGGTCTGTAGCTCTCTCTGGCGTTTTCAGAGGCCGCCCCCTACTCCACCCCCGGAGGTTAGGCCTTACGTGTAAGAACTACTGAACGTAATTTGTGGTCCTTTAGAGCATCCTGGTTTGGCAAAAAAAAAAACAAAACAAAAAACAACTCTTTGAAAGACTTTTGCGGACATCATGGGAGTTTGATTATAGATGCGCTATTAAAGAATGTAGTTTTGGAAATACATACTGAAGTATTAAAGAGTGAAATATATCTAATTTATTTTAAAATGTTTTCACAAACACAAGATAAATATGGCAAAATGTGAAATTTGTCCAGTATAGAAAATGGTAAATGGGTGATCATTTTTCTTTATTATTCTAAGATTGAAAATAGAAACTTCAGTAAAAGAAGAAAAAAGTAAAAAGAACTGGGTGTATCTTTTAGACACAAAACTAATAAAAAGGAAGATATTTGTCAGTTATCAGTTCTTGTGAATAGGGAATTTAATTAAAATGTTAAAAAAATGGAATACAGTAATACATTAAGAAGATAACATCTCTCTACCAAGCAGAGTTTGTCTCAAAATTGAAGAAAAGGAATTTTTCAAAATTAAGCAATATTTTTTTTAACTAAACCAGAAAATATATGCATACTTAAAAGATTTTAAATAAGTACTTCACTCAAGTAATTCCACTTATTGGGTTATATGCTGTAATTAAAAGATTTATATAAAGAATTCCCTTCACAGTTTAGTTGAGTCAGTAAGAATATTCAAAAATGTATGGGTAAAATATGCTCATCCACAAAGTACAATAACAAGCAGCAGCCTTTTTTATTGTTTTAAGATTTTATTTATTTATTTGGCAGAGAGAGACACAGCAAGAGAGGGAACACAAGCAGGGGCAGTGGGAGAGGGAGAAGCAGCCTCCCCGTGGAGCAGGGAGCCTGATGCGGGGCTTGATCCCAAGACCCTGGGATCATGACCTGAACCGAAGGCAGACGCTTAACGACTGAGCCACCCAGGCGCCCCAAGCAGCAGCCTTTAAATGTGATAGAAATATATTAAATGATACAAGGGATATTCAAAATATATTCTGAAATTTAAAAAAATATGCCAGTAACAAAACAGAGCTATCTATAAAACGTATGTTATTCATGAAGATATGACAGTGTCTGTCACAAGGTAAGCGCTCAAATAGACATTATTTCCAGTCAGGTTACGTAAATGTATTTATTGTGTCAGTGAGTCTGTGTGTATGCATTTTTGTGAAAGAGGTTATTGCTGTATTATTTGTATATTTGTGTGTGTCCATCACTTGTGGGAGTGACCACCACAAACTCTCTTGAGAATAAGGCAGGTACTAAACAAACATAACAGTAAATAAAAATGATACATTTATTATCTAAAAATACTTGTATATCTATGTGTGAACTATCCTTCATCAATAAATAGTAACTACATCCATGGTTCCCCAGGCCAAAATCTGAAATCACTTGTTCAGTCAGAATTCTAAGAAGACCTTTTATTTTTAATTATTTCTCCAACCGTCCATCTAGAAAATTGGTATGTGTATATAAAAGAGGACTTCAGTTGCCTCCATTTTGACCTCAAACTTTCTGGTTGGTTTCTTCTTTCCAGCTTCTCTTGGCTCAGGTGGAAGACCAAGAGAGTAAAGAATCCCACCCCTAACAGACGCTACCCACTTACGGAATAAGGACTAGCCTGAGCCCTCAGGCCCCCACCCATGTTTCACTCGGACACAGTGATTCCATTGGACCCTCACTGCCGACCTGTAGTACTTACTGTCTTTTGCCCCACATCTTTCTTACATAAACCTGGAAATATTTTTTAGCACTTTGGAGACAGTCTTTGAGATGCTAGTCCACCGTCTTCCTTGTATTGGCCTCACTGAAATAAATTCCTTTCCTGATTTCACCATGGTTCCTTTCTCTGCCTTTGCATTTTTGTCAGCGGTGAGTAGCCAGACTTGCTCTATTTGGGACTCTCACAGGCAGGTGTTCCTGCATCCCTGAACGCCAGCTACGTGGGTATGTACGTGTATTTTCTTTATATGGATTTTATGTTTTAAAATTAATCTTACCAAAAAAAATTAATATTTTTGTCATTACCTTGAATGGAAACTCGTTTCTGTTGGCACAAGAAAGAGTAAATTACTGTCACGACGTTACTGACTAGGAAATGACTACATATTTAATATATATTCCCTAGTGAAAGGAATTAAAATATTTTATACCATTAACATAAAATGAGTAAAAATCTCAGACTGTGCACTCACATTAAACTTTTTTTTCTTTTGGACAGTGGTATGTGTGTCACTAGTCTTCTGTTTTAGCCTATACATATTTTCTCTTCATTACAAGTTTCATGTATCATTTGCATAATTTTGAAAGCTTTAATTCAGATATTACAGGGTATTATTCTTTGAATGTACTATTGCACTTAGTTACAAGTACTTCCTTTTTTTAAAGCTTATTTGTCAGAGAGCGCGCACAAGCGGGGGAGCGGCCGGGGGACAAGTACTTTATTTATCAAGTGCTGGTTTTGTTTTCAAGCCCCCACATTGCGGGCTGCCAGGTCAAATTAGCTCTCTGAGTGATAGCCTCCAGAAAATCCCAGCAGTACTCAAGGGGCTGGAAGAGGTCGAATATCATACGTTGTCCAAAATGAAGATGCTGCGGAGGCTCCTGGGAAGTGTATTTTCAGAGTGAGGCGCGGGGGCCTTTTGCGCATGCGCAACCCCACCTCCTTTTGATAGTCGCCATCTTGTCTCACGCCCCGGGGCGGGAGAGCACTCTGGAGTCTCCAGGTCTGCGCGGTGCGACAGAGGGCGGGGCCTGGAACCTGCGCGGGCCGGGAGCGGTGGCCGAGCCCTGCAGGTGTGTGGCCGGGAGGGCTGGGGGGAAGCTGGGTCTCCGCGGCTGCGCCGAGTCGGAGAACCTGGAAGCCGCCGCCGCCCCCCTCTGAGCGCCCAGCTGGCCTCCGAGGAAGACTGGGGAGGGGGTCAGGCAGGGGGCTTTGCGGGGGATTGCCCGTTGTCCACCTTCCTGGCTCTCGACCTGCGGAGCCGGGCGGCCCGAGTTGGCCTGGGGCGCAGGTGGAGCGGGGAGGGACACGGGGGGTACGGCTTTTGTGACGTGGACCCCGGGCCCGCCACGTCCGCGCTGGCGTGGCTGCTGGCGTCGCAGCGCTGTCAAGCCCGGGGGGACCTGCGTGCGTCCCGCTCCCGCCAGGAACCGAGCAGGACAACCTCGGTACGACCCGGGCACTCATCTGTAAAATAATTCCACTGGTGTTGTTTGCTGTATTAAATAGGACTGTATATATAAAGTATGATAAGGACTCAATAAAGGTGAGCTTCTTTTATTATTACAAGGTATGCTGTTCTTTTCGTTATTGGCTCATTTAATCATAATCATCATAACCATCCTTTGAATCGGTATTAATGGGCTCCATTTTAATACGAGTACTAGAGGTTTAGCGATAAATGGGTGTACTCAGGACTAGCGGAGGAAGGTGGGTAAATTCTCATTGTTTTACTCTGGTTCATGCTGTTTCCCCACGATAAAATCCAGTCTTGGGTTGTATTTAGTACCGTAATTGTCCCTGAGCAAAACTGTGGCGTGTGGTAGACCTAACCTTACCACGTAGAGTTCTATTTCCAAAAATTCTTGAGGCTTTCTCAGAACTCTTGTGTCAAAAGGTTAATTAAGGCCCTTCTTGCATTCTCCAGCCTGTTTCTATTCTCAGAGGGCTGCTAACATGTAAACTGAAACCGTTAAGTTGAGCCCTGAATTTTAAGTCTTATTGGAGAAGCTGGGAACCCTCTCCACGCCACAGGCTATTTTCTAGAGAGGGGAAATGGGACAGACTGTTAACAGACGAAAACTGGAATTTCATCGGGGCTCCATGTCTCTGTTCGGCAGGTGTGTCTGGACTTAAGTTTTGGAAGCATCATGCCAGCTGGAAGAGGCATTTAGTTACCTTTTGCTACCTAGATAAAGTGTTCTCGGATTTGTGGTGTCAAATTGTTGTTTTAAGGTTTAGATTTGTGTGGCTGTCAGAAGATGAGATGGCCATGTCAAAATTCTTCAAGGCCTAATTAATTTTTACCTTAAGGCCCAGTCCAAGATTGGAGGGGACAGTGAATTCCAGGGTACTGTCTGGATTTGTGGCAATGAGTGAAGACTTACAGAATCAAAATGGTACAGGAAAGGATGTTCAAAATGATCTAATTCCTTCTCATGTTAAATAATAGCATTGAAACTAAGTCACTAAGTTTGTTAATAGCAGAGACTAGCATAGAACAAGTCTCCAGGTCGTCCAGAGTACCATGTTTAAGTCAAAACAAGTTTCTTGGAGAAGTGATTCTGGAGAAACTGCAATTTAGGGAGAGGAAACATGTTAATTTTTGAGGGCTTTGAAGACTTTCTAACTTTGTGAGGTTTATAATATTAATAGGAAATTGTTACATAACTTAAACACTTCCATATCAGTATTTCTTTTTAACATCATTTGTAATGCCAGCACCGGGGGCCATATTTTGGATATATATTAAAACACCTTGGATATATATTATATACCTTGCCTAACCTATCTTTGGATGTTTAAGGTTTTCAATTCTTTTGTCCATTTACTAAATGGACTAAATGGCCAGTAGGAAAGAAATGTTTAGATTCACTCAAAATTTTCCCAGATTCATCATGATTATGTCAGAGTCACCAATGGACAGGTGCGTAACTCTTTTATCATGGTCCTCCTATTCCTCTTCATGGCTCAAAGGGGTATTTTCCTAGGGGTTTATGTTTTACTAAAATATATGGAAATTTCTCACAGGTGATTCCTGAGCTGCAAGATAAGGTCTTTTAAGACTTCTGTCTTCCAACTTTCCCTGTTCTGGCTTCATAGTTTCTGTCCTTTCCCAAGAGCAGCAAAAAAATGAACAAGTATCAGGTGAGTCATTTCCTTGGCCTTTTGTGTGTGTGTGTCTATTTTCAGTGAGTTTTATGAAAGCCCATACATTAAACACGAAAAGTGGAAATACTTAAAAATCACCTTAAGGGAAAATGCTGCTTGAATAGCACAGCAGTTCCAAAGTGTACTCTGCAGATTCCTGGGATCCCCAAGACCTTAATAAGGGGCCTGTGAGGTCAGAACGTAATACTGAGATGCAAACTGCCTTGCACACTGATGGTGTAAGAGCAATGGTGACTAGGTTGCTGCCTGTTTGGCATGAATCAAGACAGTGATACCAATGACTATTTCTCTGCAGTGTACTCACAATAAAAAACTGCCACCTTTACTTAAGGGTATCTTTGATGAAACAGTAAAAATTAATTTTTTCAATCTTGACCCTTGAATATGTATCTTTGTAATATTGAGTCTGAGGAAATGGGAAGTTGACTTACAGTACTTTTGCTCCATACTGAGGAATGATGGTTGGTTGTCTAGAGAAAAGGCACTTGTGCGATTGATTCGTGAGCTCACCTAGCCACCTTTTCATGGAATACTATTTTTACTTGAAAGAGCAACTGGCAGACAAACTGTGGTTATTTGGACGGGTATTTACCAAACATTTTCTCAAAAATGGCAGAAGTGAGCCTGCCACTTCAAGAAAAAGAACTCTCAGTATTTGTTGCTAGTGTTAAAAGTTGAGCTTTCCAGTGAAACAGATTTTTGGAAAACTTGTATCCTCCACTGTGAAGATGACACGTTCTAATAGTTAAAAGACTTTTCTGAGGAGATTGGTGAAGATACTAACAAATGTGATATATTTTTTATATGTGTCTGCATTTGAGTAATATTTCTCTCTTTTAAAGATTATTTATTCATTTGCACGAGAGCGCACACGTCCGTGCACAAGCAGGGGGAGTAGCAGAGGGAGAGGGAGAAGCAGACTCCCCGCTGAGCAGGAAGCCTGACATGGGGATTGATCCCAGGACTCTTGAGATCATGACCTGAGTGGAAGGCAGATGCTTAAGCGACTGAACCACCCAGGCGCCCCTTGAGTAATACTTTTGATATATGTGCTCAGACGCAGTTTAAGAGGACAGCGTGACACAGAGAAGTGAGGAACAGAATAACGTGGTTAGGGAATGCCACTCTAAAAAGGTAGTATTTGAGGAGAGTCCTGGTTAAATGAGAGAGGGAACCAAGTAGGATTCTGGGGGAAAAGCATTCTAGATATGAAGAAAAGCAAATACAAACACCCTGAGGCATGTTCCAGAAACAGTATTCAAGACATTGAAGCTACAGAGCGGACATAGGGGAGAATGAGCTAAGTGGGAAGATCAAAGACGTAGAAGGGGCTGGAATATGTACGACCTTGTAGGCTGAAGAAAACATTGAATTTAAGTTTTATTTAAAACCCATACTTATGCAATCAAAGGAATGTATTTAATGTATATGTTAAATTAAGGGAATATTGATAAAACACAGGTGTATCCTCTATCTGGCTTAAGAAATGAAAATTACTACTATCGGGCGCCTGGGTGGCTCAGATGGTTAAGCGTCTGCCTTCGGCTCAGGTCATGATCCCGGGGTCCTGGGATCGAGTCCCGCATCGGGCTCCCTGCTCCTTGGGAGCCTGCTTCTCCCTCTGCTGCTCTCTCTGTCTCTCATGAATTAAAAAAAAAAAAAAAAAAGATTACTACTATCTTTGAAGCCCCGTGTGCCCCTCCTCACCATTGATTACCCAGAGAAAAATGAATCCTGACTTCTGTGGTAACCATTTCTTTGATTTTATAATTTAATGTTTAAAAACAAAAGAGTGTATTTGGTACTGAATTTCCCAGCCCTTTTATAAGCACTTGACATAGTGTTTGAAATTCTTATAGCCCAGGGGCGCCTGGGTGGCTCAGTCGTTGGGCGTCTGCCTTCGGCTCCGGTTGTGATCCCAGGGTCCTGGGATCGAGCCCCGCATTGGGCTCCCTGCTCAGTGGGAGGCCTGCTTCTCCCTCTCCCTCTGCCTGCCTCTCTGCCTACTTGTGCTCTTTGTCAAATAAAAAGGTAAATCTTAAAAAAAAGAAAGAAAGAAAGAAAAAGAAAGAAAGAAAAGAAAGAAATTCTTATAGCCCAGCTTCTGAAATCGTTCACTACCATATCATAAACTTTCAGTGTGGACATTATGTTATTAACTAAAAATCACAGTCTTTGGGCATGATGGTAGGGAGAAAGAGACTATGGAAAGAGGGAGAAATAATATAGGAGGAAGCTCCAAAAAAATTAGCCTATTCAACAGTTCTGCTTTAGTCTTGAACGTGTATCTTTTACAGGATATTGTCCTTATCCAGAATTCATTCAGGGGTGCCACATGTTCCCCACTTTATGCTCTGTAACTAATCTCTGACTGGCCAGTTTGGCCAGCACAATTGACTAGTGAGCCTTTTAGTTTTTTGAAGTAATTGTGAGTGCAGTCATCACTACCAATGCTTGGAGAAGTTTATTTTATGCAGATACTGTAATTTTTGGTTTGTTCATTGCCATTTTGGCCCAATGATGTGATCTTTTTTTATTTCTTCTTGAATCTTTCAGGTTGTATTGGCATAAATTTCTTCTGTTTGAAAACATCCTTTACGTTGTTTTTATTCTGTTCACTTGCTTGTTTTAGTGAGGATCTGCTGGTGGAAAATTCTGAGTTTGGTTTATCTGAAATATAAACCGCTTTTTCGCTGTGTATAGAACTCTTGGCTGATAGTTCTTACAGTTTAAAACATTGAAAAGCATTCATTGTCTTCTACTGATACTACTGAAAACTCACCTTTTGTCAGACCTCTAAAGTAAATTTGCATTCCGGGCTAGCTACTTTTAAGATACCTTAACTCTACTGTGTGTATGTGTGGATTTTTCTTTATCCTAATGAGACTCGTTGTACTTCCTTTGGGAGACGTCTCTTCCTGCCCTGGTGCTCTGCTCCCAGCCTGTGGAGGGCTGTTGCCATGTACTCGGTAGAGTGGGGAAAACTGGTGGCTGGCTGTACTTCAGACCATTCATATTGGTTATGGAGCTTCCTATTTGGTTCCAGAAATTGTTTCCCCAACTTATAATAAAATGATCACTCTGAGACATTTGATGGGAAGTAAAAAAAAAAAAAAAAAGTCCTGCAGATCCTAGGCTTCCATTTAGGGACCTTTTGGATGTGAAACCTCCAGTCACCAGCTAGTATCAAATGGCAGATTGGTGTTCACATGCTTTGTGACTGGAGTTCTAAGACATCGCAGAAATCCATAAGCAAACATTAAAATTTTGTTGAGCTGGATTGGTTCCCTCTCCCCTACTTGCCCCTAAAAGTGAAAGTCATTGTGGTTTTCTTTTCTGGAGCATTCATCTCTTGTGAATTTTTCCTTTGTTCATCTTTGGATTCTCAGTTCTCTGATAGGTTTTTGGAAAACTTGTAATTTTCTATTAGGGGCTTGTTCTTATTGTTAGGGTGAGATCCACTTCTCTTTTGCCTTTCTACATTCTATTCAGAAGTAACTTTTTATCCTTATGGTCAGGATGCTAGCTCTAAGCTACTTTCTGCTCTGCCCTGAAATTTGAAAATGCCCCAAAAATTCAAATTCAAGGTATAGGACTCAATTTCTTTTTTTCTAGGATCTTGATCCCCCCACAATTTTGGTGCATATGTTAATATTTGATGCTTTCGTACCGCCATTCTTAGTGTTTTCTGGGGTTTGGTTTTTACTTTTATTTTTTAATTGGGGCAAAATATACAGAAAACTTTACCATTTTAACCATTTTTCATTGTACAGTTCAGTGGCTTTAAGTACATTAACATCATGGTACAATCATCACGACCATCCATCTCCAGAACTTTTTTCATCTCGCACAACTAAAAATCTAGCCATTAAACAATAACTCCTTATTCCCCCTTCCCCTGGGAACCACCAGTCTACTTTCTATCTATAACCTGACTATACCAGGTCCCTCATATAAGTAGAATCACACAGCATTTGCCGCTTTTAACTGGCATATTTCACTCAGTATAATGTCCTTAATATTCATCGATGTAGCATGTGACAGGATTTCCTCCTTCCTATTAAAGGCTAAATGATATTCCATTGTTTCTATATACCACATTTTGTTTATGCATTCATCTTTTTTTGGGGCATGTTTTATTAAAAATCAAGATTTTATACTTTTTACTGTGTTCCATCTTTCCTTTTGCATCTAGTTCAACTTCTCTTAATACTCATACCTACCTTCTTTGATGCAGCCTCTTCTCTACTTTTAGTTGTGGAGTTTGTTCGGCCAGTCTTGGGGTTGCTTTCATGGGTTATTTATGCTGACGTGTTACCTAGTTGTATTCATGGGAGGAGGTGAGCTAGGTCCTCCTCCTCCTCCACCATCTTCCCAACCTCTCCTTTATGCATTCATCTCTTGATGGACACTTGGGTTTTTTGCACCTTGTGGCTATTCTGAATAATGCTGCTATGAACACTGGTATACAAATACATGCTTGAGTCCCTGCTTTGAGTTGTTTTGGATATATAACTAGGAGTGGAATTGCTGAATCATATGGTAATACTTTAAGTTTTTGAGGAACCAACGTACTAGATTCTCTGTAGGAGTTGCACCATTTTACATTTCCACCAGCAATCCACAAGGTTTCCAGTTTCTCTATATCCTTGCCAATACTTGGTATTTTCCTGGGTTTTTATGTTGTTGTTGTTGTTGAGTCGTCATCCTAATGGGTGTGAAGTCATTTTTGTTTTGTGCTCTGTTTTATCTTCTTTATTCTTTAACTTCATTCTTTAACTTACAGCAGAATTCACTCTTTTTGGATATATATTTCAGTGAGTTTGGACACATGCATAAAGGCACACAGTCATCACCACAGAGAGGAATTAGAGCAGTTTCCTTGCCTCAAAATTCTTTTGGTTCCCCCCACCACTAATTCCTGGCAATCACCAATTTATTCTTTATCCCTATAATTTTGCCTTTTCCTGAATATCATATAAGTTAAGTCAAACAGTATGTAGTTTTGTGAGACTACCAACGTTCATTTAGCATAATGCATTTGAGATGTAATCATGTCGATTGTACCCACAGTTCATTCTTTTTTATTGCTAAATAGTACTGAGCTGTATGTATGTACCCAATTTATTAACCCATTCACCAGCTGAAAACCATCTGGGTTTCTGTTTTGTGGCAGTTATAAAAGGAGGTGTTACAAACAATTACATATAGATTTCTGTGTGTACAGAGATTTTCATTTATCTTGGGTAAATACCTAGGCATGTGCTTGCCTGCATCAAATTTAGTATTGTGATTAACTTTATAAGAAACTGCCAAACTGTTTACCAGAGTCGCTGTACTATTTTGTGTTCCTACCACGATGTAGAGAGTTCTACTGGTTTCGCATTCTTGTCAGGATTTGGTATTGTCAGTTGTGTTTTTTTTTTCAAATCCTGCTGGTAGGTGTGTAGTGGTATCTCATTATGGTTTTAATTTACATTTATCCAATGACTAATATATTGAAAATGTTTTAATGTGCTTATTTGCTACCCATATATCTTCTTTTGGAGTGCACTTACCAAGTTACACTACCTTGGACTTTTATATTTGGATTTTGAACTAGAACTGCCCATTAGCTGTGAATCTCTTTGGCTTCCTAAGCACTCTCCTCCTGACCTGCCCATATACTTAGAGTTCTGTCAGACTTTGGTCTTGGCCTAGTTTCTCCTACCATTATCTTGAATGTTGTTGCTTTCAGACTTCTTTTTTGACTCTTCTGGAACCCCGTTTTTTAAATATGACAATATTCTTTGTGGAAATTTACTTACGTGGATATCCATCAGAATAGACAGTTCCAGCTGTATGTTCCACAGTCACTTCACAGTGTGAACAAAATTCAACTCTGTCTCCTCTTGCCCAACGGATTCTTTTTCTTGTTTTCCAGTTTCTTTTATGGATTTCCTGGTTGCTACAGAATAACGTTAGTTGGCAAAATACAAATGTCTCCACACACCCCAACCTACTCCTACTGTATAGCTAGGAGACAGGAAACTTCTGTCTCTGTATAAGTTGGGAGATCACTATTACGAGCAGAAGCAGTTTGGAGCTCACCCCAGAGCAGGAAGTCAGGAGGGCATTGATGGAAGAGGAAAGATGTCGAGGTCATAGTTGTAGAGCAACATAAGATCAAGTGGGCACAGAGATGCTCACCCTGACTGGGGAGATGCAGGAGAGGTCTGAGACTGTGGGATCCAAGGACTGGCACGGGGACGAAAAAGGAAGGGATTTAGAATGTGTGCAGGAACACAGACGGCAGCTTCAAGCAGTCAGCAACACAGAGGAGAAGAAGTGGAATCCCTTGTGTCCTCAGTAGCGAAGGCAATCAGAAAACAAGCAGCTGAAATCAGGTGTCCTAAAGAAAAGTACATTATCACAGAATCTGAAGACCCCACCCCCAGTACTGCTGTTTCCTTCAAGAATGTGAATATACTCTGGCAACAGAGAGAGTTTTTTGGGGAACTGAAGACGAGGGTAACACTTCCACCCCTCCCCACCATTTATGTTCATTTGATAATGAACAAAAAATGTTACTCAACATGCAGACAGTACTAAAAGAAAAAAGTAGAATGCGTGAATTAACACTTTGTTGATGTTAGTGCTCCTCCCTCAAACAAACGCAAAGTAGAGGAGAGTACAGCTTTCCAGTATTAAGGAGTTTCAGATAGGAAATAACTTTAAAACCCAGAGACTAAAGACTCAGAAACTGAAAAACAAGTAGGTATAAAATATAAGCAAAGTAACTCAGGGAAGAAATAGTAGAACAGAAAATCCTGTCAGGTTAGAAGATTAAATGACAGTGCAGCTCTGGAAGAAGAGAAATGCCAAGTCGGATAACTGACATGTGGCAGAGAAACTGGAAGAGACCGTGGAGTGGGGGAGAGGGTAGGGGTGCCGTTAAGAATGGACAAGGAAGAGGAAGAGAGAATAACAAATAGGAAATAAAGTAGAATCCCTGAATAACAAAACCTAAATAGTGGAAGAGAGCTAATATTTAATCCAAGGAAATTTTCCATAAAGAAAAGGAAAACTGAATTACATACTGAAAAGGCTGTGTGTGCCAGAGAGAACTGACCCAGAGTGGTAAACCCCAAGAGAAAGTCTAATAAAGACTTACTTAAAGGTAGAGAAAAAGAGAGTCCTCTAGGTCACAAGGAAAAAAGTCTACATCCCTTGCCAAGGAAAGAAAATAAAATTGACATAATTCTTATTAGCAGCATATATATAAAACAAGAATAGCGGAAGAGTGTTTTCAAGAAAAAAAGTAGAAGGAAGAACTTATATTCAGCAAAGAAGTTCTTCAAGTTTTCACATTACATGTCAGATTCTGTGGAATATAAGCAAAGCAATGATTGGAGGAAATTTCATAGCCTTACATAGTCCTACCAATAAAAATGAGAGAATGAAAATAATTAGCATTACAGTTCTAGCTATTATCAAACTCTATAGATACTGTAGGAGTTATCCTTCCCTGCTCTCAATAATTATTCATTTCCAATGAAGGTATGTTTCTTCCCCCCACTGCTGCTATTTTAAATGTTTATCATTCACATATGCCCTTAATTTTCTAACACTCCATATTTCTGGTGTGGTATTTGCCTCTTCTACTTCAGTGTTTTCTTCTAAACTACCAGGCTACTCCTGTAACTCTAGCACTTCACATCTGTCTCTTCAGTGGCTCCGTTATCTGTAAGTGAATAGGTGAACATCCCAAAGATGTGTAGGCCAGCCCACAAAGTGGAAAAATAGTGTGAAATAGCAGAATATCTATTCATATTTCTCTTTCTTATAAATAGAAAAACAAAACATCAATTTTTAATAAAGACTTAGAAATTTATATTTATAAACAGGCACCAATTAAGTGGGTATGCAAAATATATTTTAATGGCCCAGAGACACACTCAGAATTTTTCCATGTTCTGTCACCTGACTGGACTGTATCACCTTCTAACTAATCTTTCCTATTCTCATATCATGCCGTCTTATTTGTAACTTTCCTAAACTTGCCATTTTTCATGCATCAAGGCCTTTGCCAACTCCATTTTCTTTCTTCCCAGTTTATGGTAGCTTGACTTTCTAGTAAAATCTGATTTGAGAATATACAATGCAAATATCTATCCCCATTTGTGACCATCGTATGTCTGGTACATGTTTCTGTCAGAGCACCTGCTATGAATATTGCAATCAAGTATTTACATCTTTGCCTCCTTGTCAGAGTGTAAGCTCCCTGACAACAGGAATAGTTGCTTTCATTCATCGTGTCTCCAGCAGAGTTCCAGGCATGGGTGGTATTCTCAGTAAATACATATTGAACATTTCATCTATGTACAGAGGAGCAAAGTATCTTAACTTTCTAGAGTAAACTTTATAGTTGGCAGGTTAACAGTTAGTTTACGCGTGTCTTTTTGTGGTGCTCTATTCTGATTACTTCAGTTTGAACTGAAATCTGTTGTTACAGGGACCAGTAACATTCAAGGATGTTATTGTGGAATTCAGCCGGGAAGAGTGGCAGTTACTGAGCGCTGCTCAGAGGACCCTATACAGGGAAGTGATGCAAGAGAACTATGGTCTCCTAATCTCAGTGGGTGAGAAAAACTTCCCCATATGTAACTACCAAGAGTTTGCATTTCCTTTCCCAACTGGGAAAGGAAATGCATAATATTAGCTTTGTTTCAGGGGTAAAAAGTGATGAATCCATTTTGGGTACCAGAAAAAATATTTGTGTCCCCTCCCTCCCCACTGAAAGAATCTAAATCTGCCAAGCCTAAGTAGGACCTTCATTGTTCTCCTAAAACCGCATTTCCTCATTCTTTAAGTCCCTAAATTCCAAGTAATCTGTATTACATACTTTTCCATTAATAGGTTACCGTGTGAAAAAGCCGAATGCAGTCTTCAAGCTGAAACAAGGAAAAGAACCGTGGATATTGGAAGTAGAATTTCCACATCGGAATTACCCAGGTGAGTGACGACCTGTGGCCCCTGTTGCTAGTGAGGTGGTTGGTGCCTTTGGCCTTCTGAAATATTTTTAGGAATCTCTTTTTTAAATGCCCTATACTTTTGGAAAAGACCAAGAACACTTGATCTGCATATGCAAGCAACATAAATCACACCTCCAGTTTTCATTTTTCCACGTAATTCCTCCTTTGCCAGACTTTTAAAAGTAGATTTACTTTTCTTTCCTATATACAAAATCTAATTGCTGCCTAACCTTGGCTTAAATTTTTGTCTTCTTTCTAGAATTCCCAGTTACTGAAATTCTAGAACACTGTAATCTTAAATCTGATGATAAATTTTTCTCCAAATGCCATTCCCCTCCTTTTACTAACAATGAGATGCCTCAGTTATTTTTCAGCACCGGTTTTAACTTCCTTTTCTCTCTTTAAACTCTGAAATCAGATTACAAATCTTTATGTCTTTCATCAATTACATTATTTCAGAGTTGATACTTCCTTTTAGATGTGGTTTGTCTTTCACACAAAGTACTCATTATCCCTTCTAAAATCTACTTCACCTTACTTGGAGTGTTGTAACACTAAGATTTAAAAAACTAAAAACAAGCCAAAAGAAACTACTAAGATGATCTCACTCTGCTTCCTTAAATGCTTTTCTCATATTCCTGACTTGTGTACTTACATGTTGCCAGGACCAGGAACAATGCCTAGTGTTTAGTAGTTGTTCGCTAGATATTGTTGAAAGGTTGAATGTGAATTAACAAGAGGCAGGCACTGTCTTCTCCTCTGTGCCCATCACAGTTAACTCCTGCAAGGGCTCCTCCTTTCCTAAGACCAAAGACACACACGATCTTGTTTCCTGTGTGTCCCAGTTAGCCCTGCCCAGGTCCCCATCAGGTAACATCTTACGTCTTCCCCACAAGTGCCGTGAAATTCCAACCCCAAGCCTCTGCTCATAATCTTTCACTTTCTGTCAAGTATTTAAAGATGAATAACTATGAAGGTCGGTAAAGGTTCCAGAATGATGTTGAGTAATTACTCTTTATAGATCATGTAATAAATTGAAGCAGAAAGGTGGGAACTAAACTATGAAAGCAGAATAAGCCTGGGATTGAGTTGCGGCTAACACTGCTTTGGAGATGCAGTATTTGGCGATCAGGCTTGAAAATCTTTGCTACTGCAAATGGGAATTCATCCTATTTTATAATGGCTTGCACTCTCTTTTTAATTATCTTTCCTTTAGGATATATGTGTTCCTGGGTCTTCTGTCCCTGTGAAAATTAAGCCAGCTAGATGGACAGTGAGAGCCCAAAGTATAGAACTATTCCTCCACACACGGGGAAACAGATGTTCTCAGAAAGTCACTTTAGTGTTGGCATACAGATTGTCGTGTGCGGGTATAGAGGAAATCAAGCAGAAGTTTATAGTCTGCTAAAGTAACACAGGAAATTAGATTTGAGCTGACAAAAGACCTGTTAGCTTTTCATCCAATTTCATCTTTCCCCTGAAATTTTCAGTGAACACAGCTGTCTTCTAATTTTTCTTGTCACTCTACTTACTGTTCCTTGTCTGTCATGGGCTTACAGCATTCTGAGTCCCTAAGTCTTGCTCAGCAGCACTCCGAGTATCTTTTGTTCTCTGCTCCCTAATTCTTTTATTTTTTCCTCCCCCTTAACTTTTTCCTCCAAGTTTTTAAGGCCATATTTGTAAAGTGTCAGAAGTACTTGGATTTATAACCACGTTTCTTCCCTGGTCTGCCACTGCAGTTTTTAATGTTTATGTTTTTTCTAAACCAATGGGATAGAGGAGATTTGCATGTGAGAGTCCCTTTATTTGGGGAGATTGCCTGAAGCCTAAGAATCAACCCTACAACCGTAATAATACATTAAGATTTATACAGTATTAAATTTTGGATTCCTTTGTAGAAGACCTCTGGAAAATTCATGACCTAGGAGCGAAATACCAGGAAAGCCGAGCTGAAAATTCAAGGCAAGTCCAAGATTTCGATTTTAAGATTAGAAGCCTTGTAATAAGAAAGTATTGATGGGAGTACTGGAAGTAGGAAAACACTAGTTCATATTAAATGTGAGAAAACTAACAATTGGAGTGAATTCCAAAGCATATAACCCAAATGGGAACGCATTCTTCCATAATGGAGATCTTATTCAGGACCAGGAGATTCAAACTTTGAAGTTTCATCTTTTAATTCTTCTGAGTTACACGGTAAGGGAGGCTTTGTAGATCTCAGGCATTTGAGAGATGCTGTGCATACAATGCAAGGGAAGGTTCCTTCTACCAAATGTTAAACCACAGTGTGTGTCAGAGAACGTAAGTGGAGAAACTGTGAATCTAATCAATATGGGAAAATCTCTAGAAGTTGGTTCTTAGCTAAGCTAGTGTACCTTAGACATTACTGAATTTGGAAATTTCTTTCTAGGAATGGAGAACTCACAAAACACCAGCAAACTCAAGCCAGAGAGAAAATCCATAAATGCAATGAATGTGGAAAGTCCTTCTGCCAGAAGTCTATCCTCCTAATACATCAGCATATTCATTCAAAGGACAAACCCAGGGAATGTGGGGAATCTGGCTCTAGAAATGGAGACCGCACAGTACAACAGAAAACTCACACGAGAGAGAAAACCTATGAATGTAAAGAATGTAAGAAAACTTTCTATCACCTGTCATCTCTTAGTAGACATTTGAGGACTCATGCAGGGGAGAAACCCTACGAATGTAATCAGTGTGAGAAATCCTTCTACCAGAAGCCACACCTCGTAGAACATCAGAAAACACACACAGGAGAGAAACCCTTTGAGTGTAATGAATGTGGGAAGTTCTTCTATGTTAAGGCATACCTCATGGTACATCAGAAAACACACACAGGAGAGAAACCGTATGAATGTAAGGAATGTAGGAAATCCTTTTCCCAGAAATCACACCTCACAGTACATCAGAGAACACATACAGGGGAGAAACCTTATAAATGTAAGGAATGTGGGAAATTCTTTTCTAGAAATTCACACCTCAAAACTCATCAGAGAACTCACACAGGAGAGAAACCCTATGAATGTAAGGAATGTGGGAAATGCTTCTACCAGAAGTCAGCTCTCACAGTACATCAGCGAACTCACACAGGGGAGAAACCCTTTGAATGTAATAAATGTGGAAAAAACTTTTACTATAAATCAGACCTCACTAAACATCAGAGAAAACACACAGGGGAGAAGCCCTATGAATGTCATGAATGTGGTAAATCTTTCTCTGTGAATTCAGTCCTCAGATTACATCAAAGGACACACACAGGAGAGAAACCCTATGAATGTAAGGAATGTGGGAAATCCTTCTCTCAGAAGTCACATTTTATCATACATCAGAGAAAACACACAGGGGAGAAACCCTATGAATGTCAGGAGTGTAGGAAAACTTTTATTCAGAAATCAAAACTTACTGCACATCAGAAGACACACACAGAGGGAAAAAGCTGATAAATACTATGAACTGGGAACTTATTTTGGAATTCATCCTTCAGAATAATTGGATAATTCACACAAGACAAAAAACTTAGGAATCTATCTCAGAAAATTTCAGTCAAGAGTCTTTCTTGACAGAAAAGGAAATACACAGAAATTCTTTAAATCTATGAGGGAGAGCTTTTTACCATATGTCAGACTTAATGAAGTATCAGACAACCTACAAATTGTAAAACATGAGGGAGACCGTTCTTTTAGAAGTCATACTAGATCACACAACACAGAAATCACATGAGAGAAATCCTATAAAAACGAATGAATGTCAGGGAATTTTCTGTCAGGGCAGCCATCACTAGATATCCAAAAGCTTACCTGAGTGAGAAGCTCCCATCAGTATCCTTCCCGAGCATTCAGAAACCTTTGACACCAGGTGGACTTGGAGCACTCAAAGGTGTAACTGCACAGACTGCAACAGATACAGAAGCCTTTATGGGGAAGTGATGTTTCAGTGAACTTCAGATCCATGATGCTGGGATAGAACCTTTGCAGACATTTCAAATATGTGAAAGTTCCCTGACAAAAATTCAAAGAGAATCTGTACTGAGTGAGGGTAACAGTACACCAAAAGTCATGTTGCAGCAGTTGGATTCTGAGGGGTTTCCTTTGTTTTCTGGGTTGTTTTGTTTTTTAAGAAACCTACCAATGTCTAGATATTTGAAGCTTTTTAAAAAGCACAAACACATTGAAAAAACCAGGTGATAACCTTATACACATGCGAAGAATCCTTTAGTATGTAGAACTAATGTGTGTCAGCACGCTACAAGACAGGTTGTGGATGTTTATGTGCACATGGATCCCATCTATAATTGTACATAGGGAAATATGTAGCCTTGGTTCAGTAGTTTTCACATATGTGAAGATATTTCACATTATGTCTCGGCATCGACTCCTGTTGTTACTCTAATGTGTATTTTAAATGTAATATTCTTTTAAAATTTAATGCATCTTTTTCTATTTCCTTGCATTTTTAAATGAATACAGACGTTACTAAACCAATCCTTCAGAAAGGTCAGCCGTGTTTTACATTAGGGACACATTTATTCATAAGAAAAGACTGAAATTATTTTTAAAAACAGCTGAAAACACTTAAACCACAACGCTATGTAAAGAAGTCGTATCCATCTTACTGTTGATGTTTTAGCAGGGGGCAGAGCTATCTGCCGTAGAATTTTGTATGAGTGTCTTAAGAATGTTCTTCACTGCCTTTTTCTTCATAGCAGAAGCAACATGGTAGTGGTTAAGAGATGTGGACCCTGGACTCTTACTGCCATGGCCCAAATTCCAGCATGGGGCATGCCACTTAACCTCTCTGTGCCTCTGTTTCCTTTTCTATAAACGAGAAGTGGTAATGATAGGATTGCTTTGATGTAGAAATGAGTTAATATTTTTAGAGCACTTAGAATAGTGTCTGAGACACAAGAAAAGCATATGTTAGATACTATTATCATTATAATTTGTATTTCTTGAATTATGCTGGAAAAAAAGTTGGCTACCAACATTCACCACTCACTTTATTGCTGTAGTGCCTTGGTTTGGCTTGGTTGTGCATTTTCCCACAAAGGATTCAGATATTCAGATGTGACCCAAAGCCCGTGGTTGTAGCCTACAAGCCAAGAATGGTTTTGCATTTCTGAGTGGGTGGAAAAAAATAAAGAACATTTTGCAACATGTGAAAAGTATATTCAAATTTCAGTGTCGATAAATAAAGTTCTATTAGAACACTAGTAAAAACCATTTGTCTCTGTTTTGCCTGAGGCTGCCTTTAGCACTACAAGAACAGAGTTAAGTAGTTCTGACAGAGACCGTGTGGCTCACAGAGCCTGCGATAGTTACTATCTGGCACTTTACAAAGTTAAGTTTTTCTGTTACTTAGAGCTGCAAACACCACAATCAATGTATATGATGTACTTTTATATATAGTATGTGTTTCAGAAATGATGCATACAGCAATTTGTGGGTGGGTGGTTTTGTGCAGTGTATTTATTTTGTATATTGTATTTATATGTTAAAAGCCTAAGCATTAGAATTTTTTCAAATTGTTTTATTTGTTGAACTGTCATAAAATCAAAACATTTTCTGATGGAATATAGCAGTACATGTATAAAATAAACATTGTCTAAATTAAGTCAAATCGTTAATTAGTCCCTACTTAAAAATATTCCCTTATTTTCTTCCAAGTCAATGGCCAGTGTTCCCTGTATCATTTTATAATTTTCTCACTATCCCATGACCATCTTTGTCATACTTAACTAGCATAATCTAATAACAAAAACCTTACAATGCCCAACTCCACCAGCTACATTACTAGTAATCTACATTACTAGTATTACTACAGTACCAGTAGAATTATTTTATTGCCTAAACTTCAGGATTGTCAAATGCTGCTCCGATCTAAATCCTGCCACTTGCCTGCCCCTTCCAAATGATGACTTTCGTGATGCTCAACTTCTTAAACATGCCTTGATTTGTCTGCTGTTTACCACCAATGAACACCTACTGTGATATTTAGTAATTGCTTTGCTACCTATATAACTTCTAAATCCTCAAACAGTAAGTATTGTCACCAATCCTCTCCCCAACACTGACGTAAGCATGCCATCTTGATTATAGCCATGCCTTCAAAGGAGTTATTTCAACCTGCTGTGGAAGCAAATATGTTTCCTAGTTTCCCCTGGCTTCTCAATCAAAAATTAAATAAAAATTATTGCTTTTTGAGGAAAATCCAGTAACTCTGTTAAACCTGTCACTAAGAATAATGTCTGTACTAATGAAAAGACTTTAAAGATACTCTGAAAAGAATAAAATATTCCTGGCCTTCAAAGTCAAGAAGGATGGAGGGAGACTGACTGCCTCTTGGCCAGAGTTTTAAGTCATGAATTAATAACCACAACAATCGAAAGATCAGAGACAACTGATCACCAGATCAACTGATGGGTGTTTCATCAGATGCACACATGCTTATGAGGGCCAGCCAGCCTGTCAGCTCCACATTTCTGAAGGCCAATCAGCAACAGCATTCACTATGACCATGTTCTGGAAAGTCAGAAAGTCAGCTACAGCCTCATTCCAGTGACCAAACTTTTACAACGGAAAGCCAGCCAGGCAGTCCCTCAACATTCCTGTTTTTGAAAGCCCACCAATCCCTGAATCTATTTCCCAAACTTGTTTCACTTCTTAATTTCCTGGACTGATTTATAAGTATAGCCCTTCTTTGGTTAGTATGATGGTCAAAGACTATCAATTCCTTCTCTTATTCCATTCTAAAAAGCTATTCTTGTTTTCTGCTCTTCAATCTGCAAGGGCCTTGTGACTTGCTTTGGCTTTAGTAGAATATGGCAGAAGTTCCAGGCCAACACTTTAGGAAGTGTGGCAGTTTCCACTTTCCTTCTTGAAGCTAATCATCATGCAGAAAGTTCAACTAGTCTGAAATTACCAAGCTGTGAAGAAACTCAAGCTATGAGGAGAAAGCCCCATATAATTCCAGACATGTGAGCCAAGTTTCTTTAGACCTTCTGGCCCAGCCCCATCACTGGCTGAATTTAGCCAGCCAAACAAGACTTCAGCCAATGCCGAGTGCATCAGAGAAACCACCCACTCTACAAGAAATAATCATTTTAAACCATTAAGTTTTGGGTGTTTTTGTTACACAGTAATAGATAACTGAAACAGAAAGTGAGCCATAAATCAAGTTTTAGATATTGATTAGTCTCTTCTTTCTCAAAAAGTTGTGCAGCATACGAAGCCCTTAGAAGTTTTGCCACATTAATAACACTACAATGACCATTGTTTAATTTGATGTCAAAAAAGGCTTTGCCCACATACAACAATCTACCCCCATGAAAGAGAAGCAATCCTAGCTCAACTACACTGTCTCGTGCTGCCACCCCAATTACAGCTGTATGCTGGAAATTAAAAAGACTAAACCCCAATGATGGGGAAATTGTCCAGACATTTTTTTTACAGTAATGATTCTTTTTTTTTTTAAAGATTTTTTTTTTTTTTTTTATTCATTTGAGACACTGAGATAGACAGAGAGAGAGAGAACATGAGCAGGGAGAGAGGTAGAGGGAGAAGCAGGCTCCCTGCTGAGCGAGGAGCCCGATGTGGGGCTCAATCCCAGGACCCTGGGATCATGACCTGAGCCGAAGGCAGACGCTCAACCATCTGAGCCACCCAGGTGCCCCTACAGTAATAATTCTATTTAAGAGATTCAACAGGTGACCAGATCTTGCTTTATCTATAAAGTTCTGATGTGGCTTTGGACCCTCCCTCATGGAGCATTATAGCTCTGGGCCAAAGAGGTGTTTCGGGTTGTCTGGTTGATATAGGGCAGGGCAAGTACTGGGTTGCTGTGAGAGAGTTAGAGGAGGAGGTTGGGGCTGGGACTAGTTGGTTGACATTTGAAAGATGAGCTCCAGGATCAGCCCTTTGCCATCTCTTAAGAGAGGAAGACTCTCCCTGGCCAGCAAGCTTTTTAAAGTTGCCAAACATAAAATACAGAAAAAACATGATTAATACAGGATGCTTTCAGAAAAGCTCAATATTCCCTAGCCTAAGGTCCTATGACTATTCCTCATGAGAATGGCAATGTGATCTATACTTTTAAAATCCCTATAAACGCTCATGAAATTGTTACTAAATGACCTGAGAAATAGCTTGAATTTTCCCCTCATAAATTGAGATTATCAAATATCTAATGTCACGTAAACTGTATGCCTGAAAGGTGAGAACTGCATTTCCAAAAGTAAGGTCACCAGAAACACCTCTACATATTCTGTAATGAGATTATATATGTTAAAACAGACACCAATTAATGTCAGTCTTAAAAATCACATTGAAAAGGATCATTTCCTGTATTTATATGCTTAATAATAAATGCTACAAGAATAAAACCATGGATAAAAATTACCAGGATATCTGATCCATTTATTTCTGCCTTTGGAACAAATG